TTAGCACTGCTGGCAGACAATCGTCAACACTCGTTATCAGCCACAGCAGTAGGACTCAAGCATCGACTTTAAGTTATTGCAGTGCTGGTAAAAGATTGGGATGAGGGAGGGGAAAGGGGACACGAGGTTCTATCAAAAATAAATATGAAACTGTAAGTAACAAAAAAGACTGTTATTTCGGAACTATCACAGTATATCGCCTGTCCGAACTACAGGCTATCATCGGCAGATGAAAGTCATCTAACAATCCGCATCATTCAACAAAGCTCAAAGAAAGGCAATGCAAAAATTTGCTAATAAAACAGAAGCTATTAGCACATTTGTTGAACAAAATTCAACTCGCATAACTGTGAAAACTCGTAAAAATTCTTAAAAAATCCTAGCAAAATTAACAAAGCTGCCATAGACTATCAAAATAATGGTATAATTTAAAAACTGATGAGAGACACAAAAAACGATTGTGCAGGCGAGCATCATCGTAATTCATCTTTGTATTTCCAGCCTTCGCCGTCCCGTACAAACAGAAGCGGATGATAAACGACTCCTTCTTCCTAGAATTGGCAGATTTTTCATCATATCTAATAATGCCTCGAACAATCCAATACTTCTAACAATCCAATACTTCTATAACAATATAATTTTTTAGGCTACAGCTTCAAAAGTAGGGAGAACGATAAGAACCTGTCGCTTTTTTGCTTCATCCCGCTGCCTTTGTTCAATCCACCGCTTCGCGCTCGTTGCAACCTGTATGTTGTTTCTCTTCAATGCAACTGTAACGTGCCTCCACAACCGGCGTGATTCTCTCTCACCCTGCTTCGCGACCGGTTCACATTCCTGCAAGCTTAACTGCATAGAAGCAACGGATGTCTACAACTGAAACTTCAATGCAACCTCCGTTAATGATGTAAATATTCACAAAAAAGTTAGGGCCACTGTAAGCTAGAAAAAGCTCAAGAATAACAAATTTGTAGGCTTTATGACAAAGGTGGGCAACCGAATCCGGCCCGCGGAGGAATCGGAATGTGGTGCCTAATTAGACGAACGGGAGTTTGCAGCCATCCACGTGTCTGCACTCTCATGAAAATAAATAAAACTAAAATACGCACGAAGCTAACAGATAACAGTTCGGGAAATACTTTAAGACTATTCATTATATTAAAGATCTGACTGCGTCAAATTTAACGCAAAAACACGTGATCGCATGGACAAACGTGGTGTGTTGTTGTCTGAACTTTATTAAAAGTGGCCCGCGAGTTTAAGCAAATATTTAAATCAGGCCCGTCTGGGTTGTCCATGCCCGTTTTATGACAAGAACGGAGTTTCACTCTAACAGTTAAACAATACCCCATGTTTAACGAATAGGTGCATCATCGTGTTGTCGTTCCCTCCACATAAGAACAACTCGATGAAAATCAGGTACTACTGTCTAAAAATCTTACTATCTAGGTGAAAAGGGATGTAAAGAGCGAGCAAAGAGTATTCCAGAATAATAATGAAAGACTAATTAGGCGCGGCTAGGCAATAAACTCCTTCGCGGAAAAGCACAAAAACTGCGAAAAATCACGGTGCAGTCTGAATGCCTACCAAGGCTATTTACTCGCTGAAACTTTGAAAACCGTAGTGGAATGAAACAAACCTTTTTCACTTCGGGATATCTTTTAACATCAACAAATATGTATTCCTCGCCATTGAGCGGTTTTGCAGTCATTACGCCATTCCATTCTCCCTTTATTGTAAGAATGGGCTTTTTGAATCCGGAACGATAAATATTTCCGCTGATTCGATGTGGTTTTCCACCAAAAAAGGGCTTTGTCAAGAAATCAATTTCAGCTGAATAACCCGTTTTGATGCAGTTTACAGTCACCTGCAATGTAAAATATCATGAAATACCAGTACAAAAAAACCACCATCAGATCGCTTTTAGTAAAGTTTAGAAAAAAAGAACTATAGAAAGTCTTATCAACGTAAGGCTACTGTTCAAAAGAACTATCATTTGACTTACTTTCGAGTGAAAAAGGGAGGGCTTTTCAAGTAAAATACCGTGAATGCCTGGGCTGCAGGTGCGAAGCTTTTTGATGTCATCGGATGCACCACGGCATAAAACACAGATGTGTTAAGCCCTCTTATCTGTTTACGCTACGCTCATGTACCATTTATGCAAAAGAAAACAAGCAAATTTTGAGGCAAAAAAAGCAGGTCAGAGTAATAAAGGGTTTACTTTTCCACCAAGTTCAATCCAAGGTGTACTCATAATGGAACGACCATAGCCATTCGGGAACGTCAGGACATATTCTTCATCAAAACTGTGCAATTTTACTGTGCCCCAGCCAATGTTTGTTACACCTGTAATTAAGTAACAATACTTTTGCCAGCTGTCAAAAGCACAGAAAAACACCGCAATTTTCCGATTTTACAATGAAAAAATCAAAAAACAATATATTTGAATGCACTTTACTTCTGTCCGAGATTTTCATAACTTACCGATAGAGAGGCCTAAGAATGAGGATTTCGTCCAGATATGGGCAGTGAATGAGATCCGTTTGCTTGGATGTTCGGCATAAAATGCTGATACAGGAGGATGATGGCTGACTTGTTCGGCCACAAATGTTAAGTCATTCTGATCTGAGCCTGGAAACGGGCCACGATTTGTGGCCTTTTTAGATGGCGGAACACCTGGCGTTTTCCATCGACCTGCAAAATGAATGCAAAAATAAAGGGAATATTTTTCAGCAAATTTCGTATCA